TAGATGTCAACCCACCAACGACGGAAGAAATCAGAATGACCATCAGACAAATCAAGAGCGGGAAAGCAGCAGGACCCGACAACATACCAGCTGAAGCACTGAAGTCAGACATCGAAGTAACTACAAGCATGCTTCACCTTCTGTTCAAAAAGATTTGGGAGGAGGAACAAGTGCCGATGGACTGGAAAGAAGGACACCTCATCAAGATTCCAAAGAAAGGAGATCTGAGCAAATGTGAAAACTACAGAGGCATCACACTACTGTCAGTACCAGGGAAAGTCTTTTACAGAGTGTTGCTGAACCGGATGAAGGATGCGGTAGACGTCCAACTTCGAGATCAAGAAGCTGGATTCCGTAAGGATCGGTCGTGCACAGACCAAATTACGACACTACGGATCATCGTCGAACAATCAGTTGAGTGGAACTCGTCACTGTACATCAACTTCATCGATTATGAAAAGGCATTTGAGAGTGTAGACAGGAGGACGTTATGGAAACTTCTTCGACACTACGAAGTTCCTATGAAGATTGTCAACATTATCCGAAACTCATACGACGGACTACAATGCAAAGTCGTGCATGGAGGACAGCTGACAGATGCATTCCAAGTAAGGACCGGAGTCAGACAAGGCTGTCCACTCTCTCCCTTCCTCTTTCTTCTGGTGGTCGACTGGATTACGAAGACCTCGACATTTAAGGGAAAACGCGAAATACAATGGACAGCTCAGAATCAATTGGACGATTTGGACTTCGCAGATGACCTAGCCCTCCTATCGCTTACACAAGAACAAATGCAGATAAAAACAGCCAGTGTAGCAGAAGTCTCTGCATCAGTAGGCCTCAGCATACACAAAGGGAAAACCAAGGCCCTCAAATTCAAAGTGGAGGACAGCAATCCAATCACTCCTGATGGCGAAACTCTGGAAGATGTAGAATCCTTCACATACCTGGAAAGCATAATTGATGAACAAGGAGGTTCAGATGCAGACTTAAAGGCGAGGATTAGCAAAGCAAGGACAGCATTCCTACAGTTGAAGAACATATGGAACTCAAAACAAATTTCAACCAATATCAAAATGAGAATCTTCAATACGAATGACAAGGCAGTTCTACTGTATGGAGCTGAAACTCGGAGAACTACAACAACCATCATCAAAAAGGTGCAAGTATTTATAAATAGCTGTCTACGCAAGATACTCAACATCCATTGGCCGGATACCATCAGCAACAGCCTTCTCTGGGAGAGAACAAACCAGCTTCCAGCCGAAGAGGAAGTTAGGAAAAGACGATGGAAATGGATAGGACATACACTACACAAAACGTCAAACTTCACCACGAGACAAGCCCTAACTTGGAATCCTGGAGGAAGGCGGAAAAGAGGAAGGCCAAAGAACACATTACGTCGGGAAATAAAAGCAAATGTGGAGAGGATAAATGACAACCGGAAGGAGCTGGAAAGGATTGCCCAGGATAGGGTCGGATGGCGAATGCTGGTGAGCGGCCTATGCTCCTTCACGAGGAGTAACGGGCGTAAGTTCAATGAGGTTGAAGAACTGAGCTTCAGTAGAGCTATCACTTCCAATGTACATACGCTCGTAGAAATTGACTTCATGAGAATTGAAGTGTCTTAAATGGGGAAAAGAGTGTATCCGAGATGAATAGAGTGGGATAATCTATCCAGAGTACGTTTGTCGTACTCGGTGTCAGCAATAGTCTTCCTAGACACTTCGAGGTGTTGGACAAACCCACTAAAAATGTATGTGATGCTCGAATTTTGGTCAATTAAATGCTAGGCAAGACGTCACTAACCAAAACTTAATCTTTTATGCTAACTGCTTGAAAAGGTTTAACGACTAGAATTGAACACAAAACATGGTTGCTTGTTTATATGACTTTCTCCGCCTATTTATTTTCGCACGGCCTAGGGTGGAGAGTAGAGCGTGGTTGGTGTCGCACGCCACTTGTGGTAAGGTTTTAGTAGCCGATGACATGTTATTCATGATGTTTTCCAGTTCTGCTATTGATGCTTATGAAACGAACTCTTTGTCCCTGATTGTCTATCGTTACACGGTGTTTTATCTCATTGTAGGGTCTAAGAAAATGATAACCATACGGGCTATGTTTCCTCCAGTCAAATATATAATGGGAAGAGATCCCAGTTACTCGTGAGAATCTTCAGTGAATGATGAGGAAAAAACTGGCTGGATAAATGCATCTCGTAAGTACTTTTCTATATGTATTAAAATGATGTTGACAATTCTACTGGACTCGTGTCCGCACACGCCCCTATCTGAAGCTTGTTCCGTAACCTGGGATTTTTTTTTATTAACCTTAGGTGGTTGCTTTGTCTTCGCATGCACCAAATGGTTGATGGTCAACTTTCGCGAGATTAGGTAAGGTTTATTAATTTTAATGATGTCGCATAGTTCATATGATAAACATGAGTCGATATAGCTTCACTGATAATTTCTTAAACCATTAACGCGTCTTTTCACTTTTCAGAACGCCGTCTGCTGTGATCGTCCCGAGAGACATCAGAGGGGTGCGAAAAAAATGGTAAGATATCGCTGAGTTCTTTGGCATAACAAATGATGTTCCGTGTTTCAATTGATCTTGTGATTTTAACCTCTCTACTGACAATCTCACTTACCAAGTTTTTCTATTTCCAGATAAGGACTTGAAAACTGTCGACTCGATCGTCTAAGGTGAGTAAATGAAATGATGTGACACCTCTTGAATGATACGCGATTACATTCCTCGTCTGATTTTGCAAATACCTGTCAGAACTAAGTGTGTTGTGTTTCCATTTTAGGTTAAATCAAAGTCCGGGGACGTCCATTTCCGACGAGGCATCATGTACCTTTGGTTTGTGTGATAAATATGATCAGTCACTTTGGTTTCGTTCTTACTTAGTTACTGTGGGAGCAGGGTTTTCAACTTCCTAAGTTCTTAATGCTTGTCAGAGATGGTCGGGTGTATGAACAGATTTGGGTTTAGTTAACTTGAGTAATCGGCGCAAGTGACCTGTGTTGTGGGATGGACCAACCAAGACCGTTTATCCATACTTCCAGAGAGCAGTCTTCAGCGCAACATGCTTGTGACCTATTCGCTCTGCCGAGTCGATAGGATGTAGGTGTGTTTGTCTGCACAGAGGATGATGCTTGTTAGTTATCACCTACCCCAGCCTCCAGTTTAATTGCGTACACCCAGTGTTACACTGTTGAGTACATCAACTTCATCGATTATGAAAAGGCATTTGAGAGTGTAGACAGGAGGACGTTATGGAAACTTCTTCGACACTACGAAGTTCCTATGAAGATTGTCAACATTATCCGAAACTCATACGACGGACTACAATGCAAAGTCGTGCATGGAGGACAGCTGACAGATGCATTCCAAGTAAGGACCGGAGTCAGACAAGGCTGTCCACTCTCTCCCTTCCTCTTTCTTCTGGTGGTCGACTGGATTACGAAGACCTCGACATTTAAGGGAAAACGCGAAATACAATGGACAGCTCAGAATCAATTGGACGATTTGGACTTCGCAGATGACCTAGCCCTCCTATCGCTTACACAAGAACAAATGCAGATAAAAACAGCCAGTGTAGCAGAAGTCTCTGCATCAGTAGGCCTCAGCATACACAAAGGGAAAACCAAGGCCCTCAAATTCAAAGTGGAGGACAGCAATCCAATCACTCCTGATGGCGAAACTCTGGAAGATGTAGAATCCTTCACATACCTGGAAAGCATAATTGATGAACAAGGAGGTTCAGATGCAGACTTAAAGGCGAGGATTAGCAAAGCAAGGACAGCATTCCTACAGTTGAAGAACATATGGAACTCAAAACAAATTTCAACCAATATCAAAATGAGAATCTTCAATACGAATGACAAGGCAGTTCTACTGTATGGAGCTGAAACTCGGAGAACTACAACAACCATCATCAAAAAGGTGCAAGTATTTATAAATAGCTGTCTACGCAAGATACTCAACATCCATTGGCCGGATACCATCAGCAACAGCCTTCTCTGGGAGAGAACAAACCAGCTTCCAGCCGAAGAGGAAGTTAGGAAAAGACGATGGAAATGGATAGGACATACACTACACAAAACGTCAAACTTCACCACGAGACAAGCCCTAACTTGGAATCCTGGAGGAAGGCGGAAAAGAGGAAGGCCAAAGAACACATTACGTCGGGAAATAAAAGCAAATGTGGAGAGGATAAATGACAACCGGAAGGAGCTGGAAAGGATTGCCCAGGATAGGGTCGGATGGCGAATGCTGGTGAGCGGCCTATGCTCCTTCACGAGGAGTAACGGGCGTAAGTTCAATGAGGTTGAAGAACTGAGCTTCAGTAGAGCTATCACTTCCAATGTACATACGCTCGTAGAAATTGACTTCATGAGAATTGAAGTGTCTTAAATGGGGAAAAGAGTGTATCCGAGATGAATAGAGTGGGATAATCTATCCAGAGTACGTTTGTCGTACTCGGTGTCAGCAATAGTCTTCCTAGACACTTCGAGGTGTTGGACAAACCCACTAAAAATGTATGTGATGCTCGAATTTTGGTCAATTAAATGCTAGGCAAGACGTCACTAACCAAAACTTAATCTTTTATGCTAACTGCTTGAAAAGGTTTAACGACTAGAATTGAACACAAAACATGGTTGCTTGTTTATATGACTTTCTCCGCCTATTTATTTTCGCACGGCCTAGGGTGGAGAGTAGAGCGTGGTTGGTGTCGCACGCCACTTGTGGTAAGGTTTTAGTAGCCGATGACATGTTATTCATGATGTTTTCCAGTTCTGCTATTGATGCTTATGAAACGAACTCTTTGTCCCTGATTGTCTATCGTTACACGGTGTTTTATCTCATTGTAGGGTCTAAGAAAATGATAACCATACGGGCTATGTTTCCTCCAGTCAAATATATAATGGGAAGAGATCCCAGTTACTCGTGAGAATCTTCAGTGAATGATGAGGAAAAAACTGGCTGGATAAATGCATCTCGTAAGTACTTTTCTATATGTATTAAAATGATGTTGACAATTCTACTGGACTCGTGTCCGCACACGCCCCTATCTGAAGCTTGTTCCGTAACCTGGGATTTTTTTTTATTAACCTTAGGTGGTTGCTTTGTCTTCGCATGCACCAAATGGTTGATGGTCAACTTTCGCGAGATTAGGTAAGGTTTATTAATTTTAATGATGTCGCATAGTTCATATGATAAACATGAGTCGATATAGCTTCACTGATAATTTCTTAAACCATTAACGCGTCTTTTCACTTTTCAGAACGCCGTCTGCTGTGATCGTCCCGAGAGACATCAGAGGGGTGCGAAAAAAATGGTAAGATATCGCTGAGTTCTTTGGCATAACAAATGATGTTCCGTGTTTCAATTGATCTTGTGATTTTAACCTCTCTACTGACAATCTCACTTACCAAGTTTTTCTATTTCCAGATAAGGACTTGAAAACTGTCGACTCGATCGTCTAAGGTGAGTAAATGAAATGATGTGACACCTCTTGAATGATACGCGATTACATTCCTCGTCTGATTTTGCAAATACCTGTCAGAACTAAGTGTGTTGTGTTTCCATTTTAGGTTAAATCAAAGTCCGGGGACGTCCATTTCCGACGAGGCATCATGTACCTTTGGTTTGTGTGATAAATATGATCAGTCACTTTGGTTTCGTTCTTACTTAGTTACTGTGGGAGCAGGGTTTTCAACTTCCTAAGTTCTTAATGCTTGTCAGAGATGGTCGGGTGTATGAACAGATTTGGGTTTAGTTAACTTGAGTAATCGGCGCAAGTGACCTGTGTTGTGGGATGGACCAACCAAGACCGTTTATCCATACTTCCAGAGAGCAGTCTTCAGCGCAACATGCTTGTGACCTATTCGCTCTGCCGAGTCGATAGGATGTAGGTGTGTTTGTCTGCACAGAGGATGATGCTTGTTAGTTATCACCTACCCCAGCCTCCAGTTTAATTGCGTACACCCAGTGTTACACTGTTGAGTAACGGGTTTTCGGCCAACATAAATTGGTTGACAAGGTTTCTCCGTAGATGATTGTCGAGTGTGGAAATGCGACATAGTGTGGTTCGCCGGTTAAGCACAGGTTACCGTCAAACCGCCTTGGTTGTGTAGGACGCCTGGCGACCAAGTTTTGCTACCGAGGCTCCTGTTGGTCATTTCATTCCGGTGGCCTCTCAGCTTCTCACTAGTTCCTCGGCGTGACCATTGTCTCGGGGTATGCGAGCGGCGTGGGTCTGTCCAGGTAACAGGAGATGAGCCAAGGATTTTCGTGGACATTGATTGTGTGGAATATGGGGAGCCAGTAGGAGTGAGCGTAACTAGAGTCGTGTTAAGGTTCACAGTGTACTCCAGTTGATATTAACTGGAAGCCATTTAGTTAGTCTGTAGCTGGCTGCATCTGAGATTGGTATGCTCCACATCAAATACTTGATTTGAGTATTGGTCCAGAGTTATGCGCTGTTGCGCGTAATTGGTTTGACATTCTTCCTTAGGTGCAGTATATGATGTGTTAGTCCAGGCCTTAGCTATGGTGATCCTCCTAAAATTACTTGCTTGCAATCCCGTAAAATATCCCAGGGTGCTTATTATCCTTGTGGGCTGAGCGTTAGGTAATATGAAATATCAATCTAGAGTTGGGCCTTTTCTCAACGAACCGGTAGGTGGCTTGCGATTAATTTTGTTGAAACAACCGGAAATCACAATCGATGGATAATACACAAGATATAGTAGTTAAGATTGATGAGAATATTAGTGTTGAAGATAACTTAAACAAAGAACCAACTAAGGGAAGTAGTGGGTTGTTAGTAACAGTTGAATATGAAACAGTCAAGTCGGCATAAAAGAAATAAGATTATCGTGTGGACATCAGCAGCAGTTAGGCATCAAAAGTAGATAAAATAGTTTGGTCATGGCTGTATTCCTCTTGAAAGGAAAGGAGATTTGCCACATCTTCCTGCTGTTCGTACAAGCGATCAGGTGCTCGCCACGAAACCGGGTTCTGGGTTTAGTCCTTGTTGAGGTTGCGGATGTGAACTGGTGAGGTGTCCCATACCCAGATGAAACAGTTGGTCAGCTCTCTTTGGCTTCTAATAGTTAAGTATCTGAGGTCATTCCATGACATGCGATATTTCTGTTTTCTGCGTGGTAGGCGTGTAGGTTTACCGGATTCGCTGATCTAACTTGGCAAGGATCGCCTTTCATAATTGATATAAAGCCGTGTCAATTAAAAGTTATCACTTTATTGGAATACTCCCACATAGCATTTATCTTGGTCCACATTGATGCTGTTTCATTCCTTGTTCTAATTTCGTCCCTTACCTTTCATAATGAGTTGTACTCCTCACGACATTCTTCCCATTCCTAATTATAAATTCATATTCATAATTATTCTTAGTGCCATAATAATAAGGATAGTAATAATAATAATTATTATAATTCAACAATTAAAACAACGATTCCAAAAGTAGTTGAGTTCCATTCCATGTGGCGGGATGGCAGATGCTGATTCCGAAGGGATAACATAATAGGAAATGTTGTCCATTGAAACATAATAATTTCAGATGTATAACTGTAGAGCTCGAAGTTGTCGAAAATCACCACTCACTCTAATACTCTATTCTTGATTATCATGCAGGGATTTTCATACCATATTTGAGTCATGAGTACCACGTACATGATTTGACTTTATTCGTGTTTGACAATCATGATCACGGTTTGAGAATCTTTGGTGAACAAACTCAATTGTTGTTGACCCCGTATGGATTTACTGGTCATTTAAATGACACTGACGTTGTGAAAAAGATTACTATGCTATATAAGCATCTTTCTACTAATGGAAACAGGTTATTGTTTGTGTTATTTAAGTCTGAGTTTCCGTTTTCGCATACCAACAATCTACAGTTATCCATTTCTTATTTTTTCCTTTTCTATTCACTCGTGTATAAAACACTAAAAAGCATACTGTTAAGTATGTTATTGCTATTCTTATGAATCACATTGTATATCTTTTTTATATGCATATTTATTCGGTCGTACATATTGTACCTTATTCGCATGTGTATGTGCATTTCAGTATGTATTTGTCCGTTCATCTTATTTATTTGATATAAAAGCTGAGTCAAACTTTAATAATGTTCTTTGTTAGCAATGGTCATTATCCATAATACATCCATCTAATAAGTCTGATCGTTTGTTTGCGTTTAACAATATATGTGAAATATACGTATCTCGCTACATTTCGTTCTTGGTATTTTTATACCATTCTTGTACCAATCGGTTTGTCAAAATATTGCACTTAAAATTTAATGAGTATATATATATATTTCAAGTGGGGTGCGATGCGCCACAAATCCTATCAGTTGGTTGAGGAACAGTAAAAATACGTACTTAAAAATAATACAATAAGGGCTATTAGTTTCGAGAACTGACATCTTTTCATTATTAATACTAACTGTCAAGTTAGGCTAGTTTTCATTGCTACATAGTCATGTTGAATGGAGACTTCGATAATCTACCACATTTACGCTTTGATCGTGATTTGATTAGTAGTGTAGTGGACAAGAACACCAATGGAGACAATCGAATGTATTTAACACAAAATTACAGGACTTGTTAATAAAATCTAACAATCACAAAGTAAATACTTAATTTGTAAAATGTCCACCAATTGTCTCAAAATGACTCAGACTTCATTGTTCTTGCATTTTCGTACAAATTGCATCCTGTTTCCATTCTTTACTGTTCGATCCTCTTGTCTCTCTGCTGCCAGACCTTCTGTCCACGACTAACATCATATACTACTTATGTCAATATAAGTAGCATATACTACAGTAGTAAAATCAATAGTTGAGATCATGAGTCAATTGAAGCTAGACCACCACGGGAAACCTGGAAGCACTGGACAGTTGTTTCGTTTTTCCGATAGTAGTAAAATATTAGTGTATACATAAGCATTGGGGTTTAGATACATTCCAGCTAGGATTATCTATAACTACTACGATAAGTGTGTTTTAGATTCATCAGTTACTGATTATTCAAAATATAAGGTTTCGTAAAACACTAATTTATTGGCAAAAAGAGAAAAATTCGCATTATCTGTGAATGACTGATCATCAGTCAGATAGTACGATTTTAGGATTTTTAAAATTAAGTTCATTATTTCATTTCAATGACTTTCTTAACTTGAGTAGATGTTTCTCTTTCATAACTTTATTTTTGTTTAAAACAACAACAAAAAATGGTAACTTTACATATGACGCATATGTTCTATATGGAATATATCTGTACACTATGGTATCATGTTACTATTTCCTTATAAACATACATATATATATTTTTAAATTACTTAGATTCAACAGGAAAGTGTGGTCCTATTAATATATGTTACAATGAATTTACTATGATGAGGGAAATATTAGGCAATGTTGATCTTTCAAAACTGTATAGTTAGAAGTTATCTTCATTCTGTGTGTGTTGTGTTTTGGCTAAAGGGCGACGGAACGTGAGAGAATGGTATTCTGAACCGATGGTCGTTAAACATTGCTCTCGACTGTTATTTCACTTATCATAATGTCATTGGTTAGCTGGTCATTGTTACTAATTTAATACCTGATTTTAACTCCATAATGGTCGAACGATAATGATGTCAATGAAATATGTATACCACTCAACGTCATAAATATTTTGTCGACTTAACACGTATGGAACAATTGTATATTGAAATCCGAATACGAGAGCATTCTGGAATATATTCATTAGTGAAGACAGATAGTGAGAGATGTGAATTGAGAAAATAAACGTCCCTACCCCGTGAATAATGAGTGAACCTGTCTTCATGTAAAACTGAATAGGGTTTAAATTACCGTTAACCAATTAGAGTATGAATGATATAAACATAAGGCAAGCTAAAGCAAAAGTGGAAATAATCCAGTTGATTAAGTTACATATGAGAAAATACACAGTAAAGACATAAAATACTTGATGAGGTTAGAATGACATATTTAATGGCCGGATTACCTATGGATGTGATAGAAACCGTTATACTATATAATTTGAATGAAATAATTAACATTTAGACTAGAAAATACATCTGCTCTCTTGTAATCATGGCCACATCTAACGTTATATCAGAATTATATAAGAAATGTATTTGCCAATTGTGTTTTGTCATAGTTTCATCGACATATTCTATTAAGGTTTTTTAAATTATGAACATTTCTATTACTCACTTTCATATTATTAATGATGCCATATATTTGGTCTAAATAATTTCTTTTTGACCAGCTATCAACAGAGAACCTAAGAAGACAGTTAAGTGTAATGTAAATACACATAAAAATAGCAGAATAGATGAAATGACGATGAATATTCTGTTGATAAGAATATGAAGAGATTTCATAAAGCATGTAGATATTCAAGCTTTTTAAATGTATCTTTATGATGAATATAGAACTTAAAGATGATAGAATACCTAAAATACACAAAAGTCATCTCTGTTTGAAAATTATTCAAAGGTTTTATGTCATTAAATGCTAACTGATATCTACAAGCTGTTAACTTATTTTTGTGTATGTGAATCCTGGAGTTTATCGTCTAGTCGGCTTGTATGTGTTCCTACTATGAATTAGCTGAAACTTTGATTTATATAGACGATGAAGCCTGACATCTCTCTCTCTAATGTGCAGCTCAATGATAAACTAATGAGTCAGATATTTTTCAGTGGGATGTCTTTCTTTCTAGCGTTCTTCCGGATACTTCAAAATAATTACACAATATTGTCATGTTTTAAATTTTTGATTGTTTGAATTGAAAGAGAATAACTAAACCATTTCATCTTTCTTTCCTTTGTTTGGTAATTAAATTTGTCAGAAGGGGTTTGTGGAGATTTTAGAAATTTCACAGATTGAAATCATGAGTCATTTGAAGCTAGACCACCATGTTGTGAGATATCAGCTAACTGAAGACAATGGTATATGGTGGCGCAACTTCGTGGATTAGTTGAAGTTGGACATTAACACCGTTGGATGCCGGCTCAGTGGTCTAATGGTTAAGTGCTCGCGCGCAAAGCCAGTAGGTCCTGGGTTCAGATCCCGCGGGGTGCGCGATCGTGGGTGCGCACTGCTGAGGAGTCCCATAATAGGACGGAACGGCCGTCCAGTGCTTTCAGGTTTTCCATGGTGGTCTAGCTTCAACTAACCCATGATTTCAATCTGTGAAATTAAATTTGTCTCATTTTGTTAAAATGGTTGCAATCAATTAAATTATTCTGGGATTATTAGACATATTCTCATTCCAAGTAAAAATTACTATGAAAAACGAAAAGAACATTATTAATTAGACACATAATGTCAAAAATATACAGGCTGTGTTAGACCTGAAAATAAACCTGAACTAAATCCACCGAAAATTAGGGGAAATACGTTGCTCTGATGCCAGCTTTATAATCAACAGTTTCAAGCTGTTTGGTTAAGTCAATGATAAACTCATTAATGTGATAAGTGCTAAATAGTATTTACTTCTGAAAGGCACTCACTTTCGGATTACGCTAGATTAGTAACAAAGTGAAGAATGAACAGTCATTGATATTTATTCCTAGTATTATTAAATGTAAGATTAGACTCTAGAAGGAGGTGACTCTTTAATCGTGTTTAAATATTAAAGTGATTACGAACAACACTTCATTGTCGTTGACTTTAGTGTGTGACTTAGAGTCAAATCATTCTAACTTATGAATAACAATACTTTTATGAGTTAAAAGAATCATCGATTTCGCTTGTCGTTTAAACTTGAGATGGAGTTAATATGTAATGAGTACGGAAGAGTAAGCATAGGAAATTACGTTGTGACCTGATATAATATATTATAGACTGTTCAATAGTTAATGCTCCGAAATAGTATCTAATTAGAATACTTAATTAACTAAGTGAATATATTAACTTCCATCATCAACAATCTGACTGTTTTCCTCAACAATAACTAACACGATCCGACTAAAGCTAAACAAGCCGTTTCTTTCAAAGGTTATTTGACCACAAACAAAAATGTTTAAATACAAACAGTTTCGTGGAAGGATTGTAATAAGAATGATTACGAGAGAATTATCAGATACAATTCTCAAAAGTGTATGTGACTTCGTGAGATACTGCTTTTTGGAAATGGTATTGTTATGGAAGAGGTCAAGCGTGCGGTCATGTAAAAACTCAGTTCCATTTGATTTAGGACAACATACACTTGTATAACATTCTTTTACATAAATTCACTGTAACATTTACCATATTTGTTTGCAAATAAAAATCTCCAGTTGATGAAGTAGACTCATTTGCCAGTAATATTGTCGTCTTTAAGTTGAACCATATTAGGTACCTTCTCACAAACTACCATCAATATATGGCTTTGGTGTGAAGGATACAGATACCAGAAAGTGATGGCCAGTAATATCGTCAAATATACCCTGATTCATCAAATCTAATTTGTTCAAATTTCTTTTTTTCATAAGAATCTGAAGTTCACAGTAGTCATTCTAGCATAGTTCTTTATTTCTGAATTAATAATATATTTATTTACATTCAATAAACTGGAGAACAAGTCTACACAGTTCAATATGAGTAAGCGGATAACTTCTCTCTAATATTGTGACTTACTACTAAAGTTTTAAGTAGGTCTTTGAAACTGAATTATGAATATATCTTTTTATATTCTCCATTAGTATCTGAGTTTCTCAGAAGTATGTCAGTATTTTCAAGTGGAGTGTGTATTTCGGTATAACTGAGTGAATTTTGTTCGATATTTGAAACGAATTGGCATTGTTAACACACAAATCACCAAGAAATATAACTTGCTCATTGTGTTATATTTCATGGAGCTACAGAATATCATAAGACAAAGACTAATCTATAGCTGTGAACAATTCACAGCTATGTTAAAAATATCACTTTCTATACACGCATTTAAACAGTTACAAATAACAATGAAAGGAAAATGATTACATAGTTTGTTCTGATTAGCTTAACTACAGTTTAGGTTGTCCAGTTATGTTATTCCAACCACATAGAAGTTCTGATAAAAATCTGGAGTAGAAAACTTTCTGCCTCTGACCCATACTCTATTTCATTGATTTAAAATACTAATTTCTACTTCAGCCTATTACTATCAACTTCCTCCTGAAAAAGGTAATAAAATTTACTTTTCCAGCGAAACTAAATTGTTTTTGGTCTTCTTTTTCATGAGGTTCATCTTAGTGAATTCCATTTCGGTTTTGCAAAGTCACCTCCCTTACAAAAATCCTTGATAGCGGACGCATGTTCTGTCCTATTTACGATTTCTCATTTGAATGTAATTCAGTATTTTAGTACTGATGTACTGACTTACACTGGAACTCAAGTAATCTCCCTTTAAAGAAATCGTAATGTTATCTACCAGGTCACTGTAACATATATCTTTAACTATAAACTAAGAAGTATTTGAACTAGCGCTAACCTTGTATGTTATTATTCATTCCATATAATATCAAGTTTGAATGATAATTCATAAAATAAAACATAAACAAATCGGTACCAGTACTTCTTTTGCGAAGATTATTCATTCAAATTATACATACACAGTATTTAGAATAAGTATCATGTTGGTTCTTGTTATAAAGAAAAACAACTGTCTATAAAACTGAATACTTATTGATTATATAACTGATCAGTGTGATGTTGACTAATTTCTTTAAGTTCAAACAATGAATAGAATACGTATAACTAAGATTTTGTCTGTAAGGAAAGGTAAAATATAGTTTGAAGAAGCTATATGAATCGACTACTAAGTAATAACTAATGTAGTGTTTGTCTAGTCCTTAGTGTTAATTGAATTCTACTCATTAATTTCTGATATGGTCGTTAGCTTAAGTGACTTGACATGTGTGCACGAAGTCGTCAAGAAAGCCTGAAACTAAGTTTAGAGCTTGTAAACGCTCATCAGCAAGAGTAATCGTGTTCCTAATGGGATTCAAACCAGTGTCAACCAGCTTCGCAGTTTGAGACGCTATTTTGACTGCTATCCAGGTAGATAAATCATCCGACTTTCGGCAAACATAGTGTTATTTCGAACATCTTAACACTTATTTGAGTTAGAATATTCGAATAGTTATATTATCAACTCTCTCACCATACTTGTTTTATATAGAGGTAACTCTTTCTTCATTTGAATTTCATAGAGCAGTGATTAAATATATAAAATACTTGACTTTTAGCTTTTCAATTGTAATTACGAATTCTACCCCAACTACTTAGATGCAGGAAGCTATTTATTACATATATTCTTAAGAAGTTTATCTTAGATCCTAGTATGCGAACCTGTGAAATGTGAGTAAAGTACACAACAATCAACTGATTAATGGTTTACTTTGTTTTATAACCTTATATTATTTTGACGTTTGCCCAATAAACACTGTTATTACTAAATACAAAGAACGAGCTATCTGGACTCAGTTATTTCGTGGATAACGAATTGGCATTTGACATAGCATGCACTGGGTTCGAATCTCGAAGTGAACATAAACAATTGGATGAACTTAGATCCAACTCCCTAGTTACAAATCAGACGAAACACATTCCCTTGGTTCTATTGCTAGTAGTTACCTTAAATACAAAGACTTTCTAGATTGTAGAGTTCAGAATAATAGGCAAATACATTTTTTCAATGATTGCATCTCCATAGCTGTACAATCATAAAAATATGATAGACTTTATTAAAGAGATTATTTTCACCGAGGGACGAAATCAACTGGACAATCACTGAAAATTAAGAAACATTTGAAGTTAGTTGTTTTATCTTCGATTGTGGATTAAATTATCAGTTTAGAAATCATCTATATTTATGTTAGAATATTCTTTCCAGTGAGTTTCAATATAATTTTTATGTAAATAGCTAAATGGGCGTAGTTATGAAATGAAAATAACACACACCTATTTGCTAGATGTTAACAAAGTAATTGCTAGTGGGATTAACCTTAAAGTTTAAATGAAGGTTGTGCTAGACGATTGATAATTAAAAAATAACCAATCAACATCGAGGTATACAAAACAAGTTGTGAGCCATATATAGATAAATTCAAACACTTCAATTCTATCTGACGCTTGTGCTGATGATGTCGTTCAGAATAACAATGAAAGCCACACGACTAAACCATCCAGCTCAGAGAACAAAACTTCATTAAATTCTTCTATTATTATTACAATTCCACATTTCATACTTAGAAGATCTAATAACTGTTCATTTAACATGGGCTTCATCTTTACTTTCATACTAATTGTTATAGAAATTACTTTGTTCATCTTAATGATTAATTACCTCACCAGTTTTATAAATTCACTCCATATAAGTTTATCTAAAACAATAATCAGTCGATTTCTTGATCACAACTCACATACAGATTGATTTTAGACAAATTATTTCATATTTAGATTGATACCATGAATGGATCAATGTTAAATCACTATGGAAAACCTGGAAGCACTGAATGGCCGTTTCGTAGTCCTCAGTAGTGAGCATCCATGATCACACCTCGTGAGATTCCAAACCAGGACCTATCAGTCTCGCGCGAGAGCGCTTAACCTCTAGACCAGTGAGCCTCCATCCAACGGTGTTAATGTCTAAGGGTCAGATAATAGTTCAATTGACAGATATAAAGAAAAACGACAAACAACAAAGGTCATAATAATAAACTGAATAATAATCAAGAAAACTTGTATAAGGTAATAATAATAAATGATTAGAGTTTAAAGTGTAAAATAGTAATTTAAAAGAAAATATCGATAATAATTAAATAAAAGTGCAGAAGAACAACGAAGACAACTAAAAAAACACCAACATAGAAACATACCTGTTATAACCCAGTGAAGATTAAGTTACAGGTAACTTCCGAGGGCTGTTAATAGACTAATATTCTATAAATATTCTTATTGTATAATTATTCAATAATTACATTACGTGTATTTATATTCCCCTTATTATAAGCTTTATTTTGACCTGTAATTTATTATTAAACGATTTACGGTTCTTAATCTATGTTCAGTCTATTAATTACTACCTCCCGCGTTCACAGCCACCTTTTGGCTTATTTGTGTACACATGTTATTTTCTATTTTATGGTACGTTGTGGTCTGTTTGATTGATATATAAACCGAGTATGTCAGAAATAAACGATTCGATTCATATTACAGAAGCTGGTATTGTGTTCTGGACTCAAGTGGAAGGGCTAGGAGGACATAGGACCAATAAACACGCTAAACTGCTCATACCGGTTGAACGTCATTGGTTTGGCATAGTGTGAAGATTGTATAAGTCGTATTCTGATTGATCGATAAGTCACTTGATAGAAAAGTCAGACATCAAGGTCATAACAATACCCATTAAGGGAATTAGGGCCAAGGAAGGATGAGAGGTCGGACACATCGTTTCTGCACGCAAAGTTCAGGCTTGAGTTTGTAGATTGCCAATGCCTCTGCGGTGCATAAAATATTGACTCGAACCCCCTTCGATCCAGTTTTTCTTTGACTCTGTAGACTATATTAAATGAAGAGTCCTTTGGAGCGATATGTCCACAGTTAAGTGCTCCTGTATCGAACTAGTGATTGTTTTACGTTCCCCTTTTAAGAGCCAGGCCGGATAATGTTCCGAGATGCGTTTGGATAATGATCGCTTTGTGTGGCCTATGCAACTTGCCCCACATGAGCAAGTAAATTTATATATGCACATTGATGTGGCCCAAAGCAGAAGTTTGTCCTTAACACCTCCCAGAATGGTAGGTCGGTTAGAGAAAACCATTCGGAGCTTAGCTGCGTAAAAGTTTTATTCAATGATTTCGAAATCCGTTTATTTAGGATTTCAGCGGCCGTGTCTCCTTTAATTTCCATATTCATAAATAGAGTTTTCTTCTCTACTATCCATGCTTTGTCATGAAGTCTGGGTGCCAAGTTGCTATCAACGAATCTCGGTGGATAACCATCTTTGATGAGGGTCTGTCGAAGATGAAATAGTTCCCCACCTGTTGTATCATTGGAACAGATTCGCTTGATCCTCGAGAATAAAGAGTGAATTAAGTTCCTTTTTCTACTTAATGGAACCCAACTATGAAAGTTCTTGTATTGTCCATTCCAAGTAGGTTTTCTGTACATAGATCCCTGTAAAAACCGTCAGGCATTCTTTCTAAACGGACATCAAGAAAATGAAATTCATAGTTTGCCTCTGCATCTAAGGTAAATTGAATTGATGGGTGACAATTATTGAAAATATTCAAGATTTCATTGAGGTCCATGTCTTTTTGACAAATAATGAAAGTATCATCCATATATCTCCTATATGTTAGGTATGCTGAGGAATATACCAGTCATTATCATGTTAAGTCTAATGATGTCCTTGGACTCTAAATGGGCATTCCCTATTGACCTTTATTTATTTCACTCGTTAAATATTGTACAGATGTTGTTTTCTATTTTTATGGTACGATGTGATCTGGTTGGTTGGTATATAAACAGAGTATGTTTGAAATATAACGATTCATAACTCAGAGGCTGTGACTTGCGTTCTAGACTCAACTAGACAGGGAAGCGGGACCAATCGGTACTCTAGGTCGTCCTTACGTGTTTTACGTGTCACTGGCTAGATCGATAAATACGCTGCGCATCTAACCTGCAGTCCACACGTTACAACACTATATAAATGAAATCTCTCAATTATTGGTCGAAGTATCGAATTTTCTAGATTAGCCATAAAACAATCAGCTAAGAGAGGACCCAATAGAGAGCCCATTGCAACTCCTACAATAGAACGAAATGGCCATCCAATGCTTCCAGGTTTTCTATGGTGGTGGTCTAGCTTCAATTAACTTATGATCTCAATCATTGAAATTACTATAATATCCACAAACAATATCCTTCTGATAATAATGAATTAAGTTTATTATAATACACTGAACCTAATAATTTATTATCATGTATTTGTAAGTATATAATTTTAAATTGTACTAATCAACCTTTTAATGTAAATTATGAATTCATTCATTTAAACAATGAATAAATGTATAAAATTGAGGATAAAAGAAGAAAATTGAAAACACAATGTATCCTTAATAGTGTAAGGAAATAAATAACTAAATATGGAAGTCTATTTATATACAATTCTGTGTAATAACACTTACTCTTTGACTATACAAGCTATTGAAAAAAACTCATTCAGTCTATTATACACCGACTTAGGTACAGTTATGAATGAAATACATAGAATCCACACCTTACATATATATATCATAATAGAATGTGTAGATAATTTCTGACAAATAATTTTATAAGAAACAATAAATCGATCGATGTATCCCAATCTATAATTGTAGCATTGTCAGCTATTGTATGCCATACTTTTGGAAATGGTGATGGAATTAAATGTAGTACAGGGACACCTATATTAATAATATAGAAGAAAAATGTCACATATATATATATTTCACTGAAATTAATCTGTTGCAGAAATATAGAGTTTTATTATAATTCTTTTATCATAAAGTTAAGAGATATGTCACGGTTGGTTTCAATGATTTAAACTATCTTAGCACTAATGATATTTAAGTTTGACACCTTAATTTACATCTAATTATTTTGCATGTTAATGTCACTATTTTCAAAGCTATCGATGTTTCTTTAGATATCAGATATATTCAAAATTAGTTACTAAAACAGTGGTATAGTTGGGAAAGATTATGGGAAACTTTTTGATGTGGAATTCGATCACTATCTAAGAATTTTGACTACTCACATAGTTTTCATAAATCGCGTTGAGGTCGCTTTCGGGAATCCCTCTAACAGGGATGAATTCCATCATCATCATCTCTAGTGCAGGTGAAAAGCATTTCTGTTTATCGAAAGGTGAGGAGTAGTATAAAGTGGTTTGCACTACATTACTGCTCAGTTTTGAAACTGTTATTCGGTCCGACTTATGTTTCTAAGTAGTATTTAGTAGTAAGTAACAAAGAGCCTGTGCATTGGTTGAACGTCCCACAGTAAATCACCACAACGAGACAAAAAGAGTCAAAATTTATTGTGAGAAAGACATTAAGATAATGGATTGAGAACAAGAAATAGAAAGAAGGTATGAAGAAACGCAATTTTGAGATTTTAGATATAGAGCAAAATAAACAGCGCCGATATGAGATCAATTCTAAACCCAAGATGGAGAATCGTGGACCAATAAGAACTCAAGGTTATTAATGTTAAAACAAATTCTGACTGTTGTTTTTGTCACGGGAATTTAGTCAGCGGCCATCAGCCATAACAAGCAGCCCACGTAACTAACCTTTTTCTACAAATGGTATATGATCATCTTCAATCTGGTATCGAACACCATGGCCAAAATAAGGTTGATTATTTTCACCTGATGATTTCAACAGATTAAACGATCTCATTCTCTTTTCTATTAAATACGAACAAAACGAATTAAAGAGAATGTGGGAATCAATGACAAGGTTGAACTTGGTGGTTTCAAATAAATCGAGCATTGGTAGAAAGTTTTCGTGATGCCGCAATGAGTAGAGAATTGTATTTCTGACATTCTAAGACTTTTTCAAAGTAAATAACCGGGGATGCTAGATCATCAGAACTCACTTGGTAAATACCTTACTTTCGTAATTCTATTTCAAAAATTTGAATTCCTTGTTTTCGCGCCAAAAGAGCTCATTTTAACCTTCATGTCGTATTTCCCACTTGAGAGGATCATAAACGATATTATTTCGTTGTATCTTTTAGTATGCTATTTTGTAACGCTTCCCAAGGACAATTTTATGCTGTATATATACGCTTGATTTGTGCCTGTTGTTGTTGTTCGTGCTTCTGGCTCCTTGTCGAATATATTTCCCTCTTCCGAACTTGGACTTCTCTCTCTAGTTAGCGGGGCTGGGACGCGTCAGAATAGTTAGCTTATTGGTCTTTGTGTCACAGAGTTTTCGTTCTGTTCTCAGACTAGGGGAACTCATAATCTCTTCAAAAATAGCATATAATCAACACAAGTTTAAATAGTACAAAGGAACTATTTAAACTTATGTTAATTTTATCTCGGCGGCTTACATTAAGTCATGAAACGTCAGAAATACAATTTTCTACTCATTGAGGTAATCACGAAAATATATTTATTATTGGATTGAAGAAAAGCTTATATATATGATATCAAATCCATTTTGTGTGAAATCATTTTTATCTCAGTAAATGAATTTCTTGTCTGGTGGTTAACCAATAAATGTAAAAACTATTCAAGTAGTTTACATTCTCAAGTGTTAGTGAAATTCCATAAACAAGATAAACATGCTAGAGGAAGCTACCAGTTAATTTACTAAATAGTTACAATAAGAGAAATTTCATAGGGTTTTGTACGTTGGTTATTATGACTAAAATAATTGGATTTCGAATTACAAGTTACAAGTTTGAACCTCACTTCATTTACTTCAGTCTGGGCATTCGGGTAGTTTAACTAACCATCATACTCATTAAGTCCGGACTATTAATAGCAGGAATCTAAGTGTGAGGGTGAAGTAGAACTGCTGATTCTATTGGTGTGATACGAGCAAGTCGTCTCCCTCAAACAATCAATACCTGCAATGATCCCATCATTCCACAACAGAATAAGGGGTTTAGAAACCGTCCTCATTAACAAAAGTACACATCACCTTGATTACGGTTTTTAGTGAAAAGGCCTCTAAATTATGGAGCTAAAAAGTCAAGAACTACGAATGAAAACACTATATGTAATCAGACTCAAAAAAATTATCCTTTGAGATCTGGAGTCACGCTTAGAGGTAACTGCAACCACTACTAATCTAGTTTCCTTTTCAAGTCTCTTAAGAAGTAATATCCTTTGACGGTGAGGACGAATGAGAGTCGACAGCCACCTTCACACCTCTAACAGTACCTGAGATCACGTTGTTCACAATTAAATCCTTTTATCACTTCTTGTCTACGCAAAATACTTCGTATCCATTGGCCAGACACTATCAGCAACAACCTATTGTGGGAGAGAACAAACCATATCGCAGTGGAGGAAGGAATCAGGAAGAGGCGCTGGAAGTGGATAGGACACACATTGAGGAAAGCACCGAACTACGTCGCAAGGCAAGCCCTCACATGGAATCCTCAATGTCAAAGGAAAAGAGGAAGACTAAACAACACATGATGCCGAAAATGGAGACAGACAGACATGAGAAGAATGAAGAAGTATTGGATAGAACTAAAAAGGGAGGCCCAGAATAGAGTGTGTTGGAGAATGCTGTTCGGCGGCCTATCCTACATTGGGAGTAACAGGCGTAAGTAAGTAAGTAAGTAAGTAAGTAAGTAAGTAATCACTTCTTAATATTCCGCTTTTCCCTATCTTTCTCCTATAACTTAATCGTTATCTTCACAATCCATCCCATACTAAAATAAAGTGTAGCTTAAACTCATGTACATAAACTTGTACTTGTTCAGTGAGTTGTATAAAACAAAACATTTTTATGTGTTCATGAATTATACAAAATTCAATATTCATTTTACTAATTAATCATTAAAATGATTATTAACATTACCTTTAATATAGTCGGAGTAGATCTTTATAATTATATGTTAATGAATCGATTTTATCAATTAACTCATTCATTTTTCGTCATTGCACTATTTTATACATTGTTCATTATTATATCATAAAATTTGTTATGAACTGAACTCTTAAAATAAGGGTAAACTAGTTTACGGATAGTTATAAGTTCGTATATATATATCTGACAAGGTACTGGTGAAATAAGAGTTAGTAATGCAGTATAAGTTTATTTTACTGGTATTTTTCACTAGAGATTAAACTCAGTTAAAGAATAATAGGAAATAAGAGAACAATAAAGCAACTACTTTTTTCTAAATTGAGATTCTTCAGCGACCACTTCCGAAAAGATCAAAGTAATGATAATAATAATGTAACTTATTTACTGAGTACAGGTTTATGTACCTGACACTTAGCTACATATAGTCATGTGAAATCAAGAGAAATTACCCGACTGCTTAACATAACAAAGTTGAATGGGGTTTGAATCAAGGATACTTGTCTCATGGTGAATATAATATCACTGACATAATAAGGAATTGAAGTTCAATGATCCACATTTGCAACTTCAGTTAATTAAGGGGACAAAATGATTTTTTACTACTGATAATTACTTAAATAAAATTTGAAACAGAAAATTATGTATTCATAAAGATATTAGCGATTGAAATCAAACACTTTCAATGTTTCACTAGAGAGTTTAGTCCTGCCTTATTCAAGGTAAATTACTTCATATAACTGACTGAGAATCATATAACTATGATTTTTTTTCTTGTAGATTTAGCGTTCGATAATTGTGAAACTAAGACTAAACAACCGTTTATTGCTTCCAGGTTTTCAATGATCATGATCTCAATGAAAAATTCAACAATCTCCACAACCTCTATCCATACTGACATTGTGAAATTATTCATTTAAAACAGAACGAAAGTTGTTATCCACAATAAACAATAATAATATTATGGATGCCTTACCCAATTCAATGAGCATAATAAAACTTCCTTTATCTTCATATGGATACTTTGGTATGTGAGGTTGTTTTGCACCAAGTAAATCCAATAAGACAAAAAGATCCTATCGATTTTTTTTCAAAAAAAAAAGAAGTACAGAATGAAAACACTATATTATATTATGGTATGAATCAATATGAAATGTGTTGTAACCAAACAATATACTGTTAAGTATTCAAAAGGATTGAGAATGTAGAGTTCAAGTTTTTTTTTCTTAAGAAAATCCATAGTACATTGCAATTGGTTAGTAACATTCTATATGTTCAAAATCTACTTAATTACCTAATAAAAATTGTATAGATTGATGTAAAGATGGATTAATCTCTTATTTAATCACGTTAATAATCAATAAGCTGAGAAACAAATATAGATTTATTTGTGTATGCTTACTGACAAGCACTATTTTCTATTTGGGATATATTAGTCAGATGTACATGGATTTCAATGTTACGGTCTATGGTTCAAACCCGTCACCCATCACTTTAAAAAACTAGTATTCTCCGCTAAACCACTAGTTACGATGACCTCCAGCTTGTCCAATGGGTTTACAATTAAAAGAGAAATAAAATAATTCAGTTTTAAATGAAGTATGGTTACTTCGTTTTATCGATTCTAAGTATAGTATTTTCATGATTTGACAAATTGATTATTGTTTAAATTATAAACCGTCGGATTCCTCTTTTTTAAAGACAATGCCTCCATTACAAAAACCAAGGGTTCTTAGTTCACAATTTCTGGTAGATTTGTGGGTGAAGGCTGCATGTAAGACCTAAACTGAAATAGAGAAGCCACTCCCCACTGTGTCATTGACCTTTTAAATACTTCTAGCCGACATCAATTCATGACTAATACTACCTTCAAAAATGAGTTTATTCAAAAAGGACATTTTTTTATTTTCACTGAAAATGTTTATCATCTTTTAAATTCTTCCACAGAAATACGTAAGCATGAAATAATAATGCAGATTTCCTGTTGTATACGGTACATTTTTCCAAATGTTAAACACGAAATATTTTAATGCATTCTTCTGTATGTTATATAGTTAGATGTAATCACTTTAGTTAGTACTCATCCACTCTGTGGATTTCGAAACTGACTCACTTGGTGTTACAACTATAGAAGTTACTACTGAGCTGTTCTGGATGCTAACGATTTCCTGTAGGATTGAGATATTAGCATAAAATTGTATGTAGGCTTTATTTATTCAATTACAATTAACTCATTAGAAAGAACCAACATGAATAAGATTGTTATAATGACCTATTTAATTTCTTTAGGTCACTTGAGAAAACAATTTCCATTGATGCAATTGGTTCCCGTTACGAATTTGAATAAGGCAAAAAAAACATGAAATTGTGATATTTCATGGTTTCTCATCAGTTTCTTACAAATATATATGCATTAAAATGCAACATTGAGGTATGGTATAGTGTGAAACAATTAATGACAGAAAGAATTAGAATAGTAAGCATGAGGTTGTGAAGAGTTTACAATCATCTGAAAATAGATATAAAGGACATTTAGTTATGGGTTGGTAATTGTCTAGAATTAGAAAGTGATAGGATGGGTTAGGCATTGATTGAACAGGATTTAAAGAGTTTATGTAAGTTTAAATGAAAGGACGATTTTAGTGTAAAGTAAGAACTAATTTGGCGAAGACCAAACAACAAAATAAATATGACCATAATAATAATAATAATAATAAATAAATAAATAAATAATAAGTTACCACGGTAATGATAAGTTGATTACTAAAAGTAAGAAAGATTGGTCTAGAGAAGTGTTCTTTTATTGCGTAAGCAATCCTTTTATTTTAAGATTTGATGGGTATATTCCGTTTACTTCAGTTGATTACTAACTGTTTCTCAATAAATAGATCACGTTTGTGATTCTTTATGAATACTGCCTTGGCAAACCGGAGAAACGCTCCACTTATTTGTGCTGCTCGATAGTATAGTAGTGAGTATCTCCACCCGTCACGTGAAAGACGGGGGTGTTTCGTACAAATTGAGAGGACGAAAAGCGAATGTCCAGCACTTTAACCGGACTCGTGGATATGGAGGGTCCACCTAGGGGGGTTGGAAAATCTTGATTCCAAACCAATTGTGCACATGGGCTTCAGAATCCTGAGTGAAAAAAATGCCGTATGAACCAATTGTTGGTCACCGGCTACCATGTGACTGCATCTCCTGACTGTTATATCCCGATAATAATGAATGGTAATTTTGGGGATCCGGGACCGATACTATTAGTATATTTTTGTCGTATAATTGTTATGTAACTAAACTGTTCATATTTCATGTCCCTCTTATTATTAGTTTTATTTTGACCTATGAACTATTATTATATGATTTACCATTCTTGAGTTATAATTTATTTGAACACATAAATATTGGTACAAGAGGGCACCAAATATATATGCGCCACACAAAACAATGAGAATTCGGAGAGAAGAGAAGAAGGTAAGGAGCGTAAAAAAGAACAATAACGAACAGATTAGTGTAAGGCAGTGTAATAATAATAATAGTAATAATGGGGGAAACGGAAAGGTAAAATCAGAAGAAGTCTTTCAGTTAAGAAAGATCCAACCACTTTTTATGAAAGAAGTAAAACAAAGTTACAGTAAGATAGCCACTGGCTTCTATTCTGAGCCATATCTGATAACGTCTCTAGCCACTGTGTTGCACCATCTCTCGGACCCCAGCCAGGGAGTCGTGAAGGACCAACACAAGCCAGCCCTTTGCAGCTTTCTTTCATACCCCGACACCGTGTCACACATTGACCACCCCCGCTTTTTCCAACCAGTCCCAGAGTCTGCAAATAATGCACAACGTGGAATTTTCTGGGACGACATTCGTAGAACATGTCCAAGCCACCGAAGTCGGTGTTTCAAGATGGTGACACCAATTGAGTTATGTCCTATCTATTAATAACTATCTCCCTCATTCACAGCCACATTTGGCTAATTCTTGTACAAATGTTGTTTCATATTTTATGGTACGATGTGGTCTGTCTGGTTGGTATATAAACCGGGTATGCTTGAAATAAATGATTCATATTGCAGAGGCTGAGATTGGTGTTCTGGACTTAACTGGTTGGGCTAGGCGGGAAGCAGAAGCAATCAGGACTATAGGCTGCTCGCACGTGTTTTATGAGTCACTGGTTCGATTGATAATTCGCTGCTCTCTGATCGGCGATATCGTTGCGTTATACAATAGACAGGGCACACAGGTTTACAAGTTATAACACTGACGTTGCTCTACTACCTTTTGGATCAGACCTTTGGATCGAAGGCTCCGGGTGTGGCCCCTTAAGAAAACCACCTGCTTCGGTCTGGGCACCCGGGCAGTATCACAGTCCACACACAAATAAATTTACTTGTGTGGCGTATATTTATTCGGTGCCTCTCTGTACCAATATTCATGTGTTCAAATAATAATAACAGTATTTCCGAAGAATTGTAGGATGTCAAAGGTGTGCCCGCATTCGATTAAATACTGAGCTACTTAGCTGTTTAGAGCTATTGCGCTCCTCAGTTTCAAATTCTTTGGAACGTCCCCGTAAATTCTAACATTTACTCATCTCTCTGTTATTCCACTGTAGGCGCTTTAGCACGTACATGTAAATTGTTAAATGTAGTCGGAGGTACTGAGAAATGAGAACCTGTCAGTTTTTGTTTGTTTGAGTGATTGAGAAGTTTGCTTCACGTAATGTCGTCAGTCTTGCTGATGGATAAGTAAACATCAACGTAGCATTTATCCTGTGGTTAATTATCCCAGTGATTACATCTTTTTTGAAGCGCAGACATAAGAAGCGGGTTTCGCTTTACCACTGTATCATATTTAACGTGTACGCTGGTTCTGGCATACTTCTCGATGAATTTCGCTGGGTCTGCATTTTCATTTAGGTAAGTTGTAATGAAGGTAAATTCTTCTTCCAGACTTTCTTTTGAGCAAGGTTTACGAGCTCAGTCAAAAAGGGTTCGTACAATCCCCATTTTTTAACTTACTGGACAAAAGCTGTTATAATTTAGATAAACTCGACTCCACGTATTTTTGCGGTGGATGTATCTTTGTAGTGTGCTGTTTGAAGTTCGTTTGATTCTAATATCCAAGAAATAGAATTTACCTTCAACTTCGTGTTCCATAGTAAAATCTATATCACTGTGTCCTTTGTTAAACAGGCTGAATATGTAAATAGAACGCTTCTGATTGTTGCAGATAAGAAGTGTGTCATTAATATATCTACGACAGAGTATAGTTATATTCTAATGCATATATGGTTGTAAGCAACTAATGAGAAACCATGAAATATCAGGAATTCATATTATTCTGCCTCAATTGTTATCTTTGCTTTATTCAAATTTCTTTCTAATTAAATTCTAAACAGTATGAAATCAGGATGTATGATAAAACGTTATTTGTATGGGGGTTGTGGAGATTGTTAAGTTTTTTGGTTGAGATCATGAATTAATTGATGTTAGACCACCGTTGGAAACCTGGAAGCACTGGACAGCCGTCCAGTGGTCTAACATCAATTAATTCATGATCTCAACCAAAAACGTTATTTATTAGACAAACTATGCCTACAGTATATCTGAATTGCTTACAATTTTACTCAATTCTGTTTCGTTAGATGATTTGGATGTTGTACTACTCCATTTTTCAGCTAAATGTCGAGATCCATACAAGCTATCACTATGTGTCCATATCTTGAATGCTTCTTCTCCATCAAAAAATATCAGCTTCAAACCAATATCAGATTTCTATGAATAGAAAGAAGTGATTATCAAATAAATGCTGTGCATAATCAATTTAGGATTATTCAGTAGTATAAATACCTGATTTTTTTTTACTAAATACTACATAATTTCTAAGATTTGTAAGGATTATTTTCCCTTTTAAATAAAGATATTACTAATTTCGATATTGTAATAAGAAAACGAAGATTATCAGGACCATGCGATGATATATTAGCGCAATACATTTCGAACAGTCTGATCGCACATAATACACTAGTTGAGAACATTTATATATAAAACTGGAAACGGGGTAAGAGAAGATAAGGATAATGATAAGAGTAATAATAATAATAATGTGAACACAATTTGAAACCTAATCACTCTGGATAATAAGCCAATATTACCAGGGTAGGTTTAAGGTGAGAACAAAGTGTTTTTAAATACACAAAGGGGGTTTGAGTTTTTGTATGGCTAAGGCTCCAATAAACCTTAGTATACGCCCTTTTACACTTATACAACACCACAAAAGCCGAGTTTAGATCAATCTTATGTTTTTTTTATCAGAATGGGTTTTGTGGAGATTTTTAGAAATTTCACAAGTTGAAATCATGAGCCAAGCTAGACCACCATGGAAAACCTGAAAGCACTGGACGGCCGTTTCGTCCTAGTATGGGACTCCTCAGCGGTGCGCATCCACAATCCCGCACCACGCGGGGCTCGAACCCAGGACCTACTAGCTTCGCGCGCGAGCACCTAATCATTAGACCACTGAGCCGGCATCCAGCGGTGTTAATGTCTAACTTTAACCAATCCACGAAGTTGCGCCACCGTACACCATTGTCTTCAGTGAGTTGATATCTCACAACAGACCTGGTTGAACCACACTGGTAACGGTTTCTCAGTAGAACTCCAGGAAATGCCTCTTGAAGTCAGTCACCAGTGAGCAGATGATTATTATCAGAAGGGGTTTTGTGGAGATTTAGACATTAACACCGTTGGATGCCGGCTCAGTGGTCCAATCTTATGTTTAGCAATAGAGGATAATGGATGTTTATCCTCTGCTCTTATTGGGTCACTTAATTATATCTGTTTCTGCAACCATTTTGGTTATTGTTCGAACACTAATTTTGAGATCACGATTGCTCCTCCCTATGTATCTGTGACCACATACATATTCAAATTGGTAAACACAGTGTAATGTGACACAATCGTTTTCATGTCTTTTAGGTTTTGGATGAAGCATGCACCTTGTTCTTTCTTTGATAATGACCTTTGCTGTGCATATTACTAATTTACCTACAGATAATTAAATCATTCAATAACAAAATGTAATCAGCCATTCGATTGGTCTGATATCCTAATTCATATCATCAGAAAGAAATCTTAAAATAAAAGAAGCGAAAATCAAAAGGATTAAGGAAAAAAATAGTGTAATGAACGAAGATTTGGCTAATGAAATCAACTAGTTGTATAGAGCAAAATCATACACTTCATTTGTAAAATATAAAAATAATACATTGAATACACCATTTGCACATTTTCTTTGAATTGTCTTTTACAAGCTCCATCGTTCTTTTATTCTTGTTGTTACTTGGGCTGTTTCTGTTTTCCTTTCACTTCTGTCAGCAAGAATTTTACTTACGATTATTGATACATACATCTGTTCGCATAGGTAGCACACATCACAATAGTAAGAGATTAAACTAGACAGTGAAAAGTATGGAATGATATTGGACACTCAATGTATAGTGCAATATAAATAGTGTATCTATTTATATGACCGAAATTGATTTTACGTCATATAATCTAAGGTGTGTGTGATCATTAACTACTTCAACTAGAAAGTCTGTCCCATAACAGATGTCCCAATCCAACAGTCAATAACTTGGGGATTCAGAACATGTGATGATCCAATCGTCGTTAGTCTTTTCTTCAGTCCACTCTCATGGTAGCTGCCATTGCATGCTGGGGCAGGTTGTGGTCAAATGTAATATATTTCAGCCACCTTAGTTAATGAAGGTTTACAACATCTTCAACTAATTTATTTTTACTTAGTACTTTGCTTCTGATTATGATGTTACTCATTGTATGATTTCAACGTATGCGAGGAATATCTCAAAGAAAAACAAGTCTTACATAAAATCAAAAGGGATCTAAATATTTGGAAATTTCAACAGTTGAAATCATGAGTCAATTGAAGCTAGACCACCATGGAAAATCTGGAAGCACTGGATGGCCGTTTCGTCCTATTGTGGGACTCCTCAGCAGTGCGCATCCATGACTCCGCCCCGAGGGATTCGAACCCAGGACCTATCAGTTTCACGCCAGGCACTTAACCAACTGGACCACTGAGCCGGATTTCGAAATTATAAACTCGATATTTTTTATATGAAATCCACAAAAGTACACACACTGACTGCATTTTCAGTGGAATATTTAATTCTAATTTGAAGCATTAATTAATTTTTGATGAGATAATATAATCTGTCAATATAAACAGTCCATTTGAAATAAATCTTATATATAAGAAATTCTAGAGATGTTATGATGAATCGGAATAAATGAATATCGGTTACTTCATAACGTGTCAATTGTTACTTACTATGTAACCCGACTATATTATCTTCATTAAATACTTTTTACTACAAATGACATTTAACGATATTTGTAAACCCAGTCTTCTAAAAACCATTTAGTTGATGAGTTCCGATATCCATTATTAAGTAAAATGATGATAAGCTGAGATTTGTAGCTCAGATGGATGATTTCGATGAAGTTTCATTCTCTTCAGGCAGAAGTTTGTGTTGATGTTGTTCAGACGAATAATAAATAACGTAACCAAAAAGCAATTACATCGAATAGTACAACGAAGATTGTAATTTTCTAATGGTTTCTCTCAGCTAGGTATTTTAATCAAAAAACTTTGTTGTTCTGAACAGTATTATCAGTGCTTACTTCAAACAGGGATAAGGTCTTCAAAACTATTTCACTTTCTCCGAATCACTTCTGTCCTAACGATCTTGTTTATGATTAGTTGTCTTGGTAGGTTTTTTTAAGATTTTAATTTACTTTCATATTCCGATTAAGTGATTTGTTAGTCTGAACACTGACGATGTTATTGATCGATTTTATGGGTAGACCAGATTTATGTCAACACGTCTGCTGATTACAGATTGACTTGAATTTCATTCTTCGATAAATTTTATAGCATTTCTGCGATCTCTACGATAAAGAATTTTGATATTTATTCAATAAATATTAGGTCCGTAGTTGACAATATTCATTTATATAAGTGATGATAGCTGTAACTGCTTATCATCTAATCCAACGCCTTTTATAGATCATGAAACAGGTCTTTTGAATAATGAAGGACATACATTATTTAGTTATTGCGTCCTTTGATCAGAGTAAAGTAAAATGAAGTATTTGTGTCGATTTTCAAGCAAAACCATTTTTAGGAGGTTAACAAGCCCTAGTGGTTGATTCGGAGGTATTTTTCATATTTAAGAAAATGATTCGTCACTGGGTTTCTAAAGATGATTTTGGGGTTGTAGGCTAATTTTTTGACATCCTTATATGAAGTTGTGAAGTTATTCTTCCAAAAATGATATTGGCAGAATTATGAAATTGTTAATATCTGGATAAACCTGGAAGTGGATGCGCACTGCTGAGGAGTCCCATACCAGGACGAAACGGCCGTCCAGTGCTTCCAGGTTTTCCATAGAGGTCTAGCTTCAATTGACTCATGATTTTAACCAGTGAATTTCTAAACCTGGAAGTATCAAATTAGGCCAAAAAATCACTAGAAGAATACGTCAGTACCAATATTAAAGTGTTTCAGTCACCTGTTATATTTGTTAAGAGATTATTTATCTTTATAGACAATACTGGCTGATAAAAGTAAACGATTCTCAAGAGTTTTACTTATATCTTTTGGAATTTGATTGACTGTAAGTGCAAAACGTTTTTTTCAATCCTATATTTTATTTCATAAACTGAACTACTTTTATTAGTCTATTAAGGTTTATATAATTAAGGTGTGTATCATGAACAACTCTGTTAGCAAATCCTGACTAAGTGTAATTGGATTACAAGTATAAACTTGACAGTTTCTAAGTAAAATTTTTATATATTGCTGATTAAAATATTATTTCTCACGCTTTATTTTAAACAACATCTTGGTTATATTGTCGAAGAAAAGTAACTAATGTTTTATCTGGCTTAAATTAATAAAAAAATTATAATAATCACAAAAAGTAAACAAAGAAATAGCTCCATACCTTCAATGCTTTAATCCCATAATTTAGTAGATCGACAATTTTCAAAATCATTGAACAAGGCATTGCTGAATCTGTTGATCCAACAAAATTAGGAAGAAGTTTTGATTCATAATGACAAGCCAAAATCAAATATTTCTTATAGTTTGTGTCGTTTCTGTAACCAATAATGTTGTGAAATGTTTTAACACCATCCACTGTATTTTCTTCAAAAGTATCCAAATCAGTTTCCCAACCGCACTTGCTTAGATAATTTCTAATAAACTTCATTTAAATTAGTTAAACTTGTGTTAATACACTTACTTCTCTAACTTGATGGTGACCAGGGCTGCCAACATTACGAATGATATTGATTTTGTTAAAAATTCGTTCCAAACTATTTTTTACCGAACGATTCCTAAGTCTTGTAAGCATATAATCTGGTGTCAGTTCATGGTGTATGATATCACCCTATATTAACAGAAAATATCAACATTATCTCTCGGATACTAGCTATGTCTTTGTAAATTATCTAAATTTATTCAAGTTAAACAGAACAGAAAATCAAAACATAATCCGTAAAATAAATACCTCAATTAGACTGTCGTGATATATATATAGAATTTATATTATAAAACTATACCCATTACATCATAGTTTGACTGAAATGCAAATGCTTTATGAGTGACAGACTTTCCATTCGAACATTTCCTTCCGGCAAATGGACAATTAAAATGGTCTTACATGATAATCACAAGTGCGCGGAAACCTGGGTCAGATCACATTTGTGCTAGGCTCTATATTATTGATGGCATTTTATTTATTTATTTTAACACATAGATATTGGTACAAGGAGGCACCAAATACATATGCGCCATACAAATCTCATTTGATATATGTGAGGGCTGTGATACTGTCTGGGTACCCAAACCGAAGCAGGTGGTTTTCTTAGGGAGCCACACCCGGAGCCTTCGACATCAAGGTCTGATCCACAAGGCAGTGGAGCAACGTAAGGAGATGCAGTCCCATGGTTGCCGGTGACCAACGATTGGTTCATACACCATTTGTTTCCTGATGATCTTGGAACCAATGTGCACGACTGGTTTGGAATCAGGGTTTTCCAACTCCCCTAGGTGGACTCTCCATGTCCATCAACCCGGTTAAAGCGCCGGACATTCGCTTTTCGTCCTCTCAATTTCGTAAACATCACCCCTGCCACGAGAAGGCAGTGAGTAGGACTTCCCTGGCAGAGGCTATATACGTGTGGCCATGTGAGAGCATTTTGAGAGGGAGAGCGGACTCTTCCCACTCTCGGCCGTACCAGGGCATTTGGGGGCAATGTTGGCAGTAAGCACGTCTAGTTTATTTATACAACCAAATTTTCAGATAAAAAAATCCAATATATGAGAAATGCATTGGAGGCTGTTAGACCTACAAATCAAGCGGGACATTGGTCGCTAATCGAAGTTCACCAGTTGCAGTGAAATATACAGTAGTAACCAATGAGTCGGAACTAAAACTTGTAATATAATAATGCGATAGCGTTGCGAAGTAACTCCTTGATCAAGTCGTGGCCAGAGAAAATGGACCGTTTTGAGTGTGAGACGGTTACCCCCCCCCCAAAAAAAAACAATAGAAGACGGTCACGCAATGTCACGGATTGATCGAAGTTGAAAATTAACACCTTTAGATGCCGACTCAGTGATCTAGAGATTAAGCAATCGTGCGCGAGTCCGAAGGCCCTGGGTTCAATTCCAGAGTGGGGAGTCGTGGATGCGAACGGGTGAGGATTCTTATACCAGGTGATCTAACTTCGATAGGTTCATGATTTCTATGAAATACTTAATGGTAGCCAATTCAAAAGGTGTGAGGTTTTCTATTATAATACGATTATCAAATTTTCACAATTGTTATTTATTAGTCTTCTTTTGAGAAAAACCAAACAGAATATCTAAGTGCTGTAAATAAAATGATGTGAGTCATCATAAAACGTCAAGATTTATAAAGTGAAGTTATCTAAATATTTTTAAAGATTGAGGGTAACTCATAAATACACAACATTGTATTTGGGCCATAAGAAAGAGATAGTTTATCGCTTATTAACCTTCTAGTGAGGGACCACAGAACTATTTATTTCCTCTACGTATCGAAAAACGAAAATGCTCTACCATAAGTGGTAGAACAGTTTATGTTATAAACCAATATCGTCTTGAAGTTATGTTCCAGTACAAATTACGAGTGTTGAAAGCTACTCCCAGCTAAATGTACAATAGATTTCCTCACTGTCTCGACAAATCACATGACAAATCGAATCTACATCATAGTCAGTCAGTAACAACGTAGAAATTCGCACGTACGTACATCAATTCGAGTTGCCATACCACATTAGCACAGAGATGCACTTGTCGATTCAAATCCCGTAGTGGTAGAGGTAATAAGAGTATAAGCAGTAATCGGGAAGATTAGGGTTTGGAGATGTTATTTAAAGAGTATAATCCAGTGAAAGAAATTTGGAAAGAGGAAAAAAGGGACATGAAGAATTCAGAAGATTAGAATTTGAGAGAACACAGAGAGTGGATGCACCTGCGCCATTGCAAACGATTTTGAGTCATGTCATTCAGGGTCTCTAACCATCGGTTGCTGTCATCTCGCGGTCCCCAACCAGGTAGTCTACACCTACCAACATGACTCAGTTCACTTGTCAGTGACTTCATGGACTTGTGCCATGTTTTGGTTTGGCCGCCCCTAGCTTTCTTCCAACCTACTCCTATAAAACTGAACATAGCACGTCGAGGCAGTCGGTCGTTGGGCATACGTAACACGTGTCCCAGCCATCTCAACTGATGAAGTTTCACTACGTCACCAATTGATTTGCCATCCTTACCTAGTACCCATTTCCTAACAACTGTGTTACTTACTCGATAGTCCCATGATATACGAGCAATGTTTCGAAGACACCTATGATCAAATACTAGTAACATACGGATATCCTCTACTCTTACCGGCCATGTTTCACTGCCATAAAGTAGGACGAAACGAACTGCTGCGCAGTAAACACGTCCTTTGGTTGATAGACGGATATCTCGCCTACGCCATAAATGACGCAAGTTGGCAAAAGCTAGTCTAGCCTTCTGTATCCGTGCTGAGATTTCGTCACACACCAGACCACAAGGGCTGATGAGACTTCCAAGATATGTGAAGCGGTCGACACACTTAACTACTTCACTCCCTATCACTAGTTCGGGTGTCGATGTAACCCAATCCTGAAGCAACATTTTGCATTTCGAGGGGGAGAATCGCATCCCGAACATGCTTGCATTGTTGCTTAGAGTGGTTAGAAGACTCTGCATTTTGTCAGCGTCTTCACCAAGTAAAACTATGTCATCAGCATATTCTAAGTCAACAAGTGAACCTCCTGGTAGAAGTTCAACCCCTGGAAATTTAGACGAGAAAAGTGTTATCTCCAAAAGTACGTCAATGACAAAGTTGAACAAGAATGGAGAGAGTGGGCAGCCGTGACGAACACCACTTGAGGTAATCAATTCTGATGACAGTTCGCCATAAGCTCTCACTCTACCAGTTGTGTTCGAGTAGAGAGCCTTTACAAGGTTAATGTACTTCTTTGGTACTCCTTTCAGTGACAAACACTACCATAGAACCTTACGATCAACAGAGTCGAATGCTGATTTAAGGTCGAGAAATACTACGATTGTGGGGCGTCTGAACGTGTGTCTGTGTTCTAGAACCTGACGTAGTGTGAATATCTGATCTATACAACCACGTCCAGGTCGAAAACCGGCCTGGTTTTCTCTAATCTGCTCTTCACGAGCTTTGATTAGGCGTCGAAGTATTATTGAAGCTAATATTTTAGACACTATATTAGTCAAACTGATTCCTCTGTGATTGTCACAAGAAGACTTTTGTCCTTTCTTATAGACTGGCGCAATCAGTGAGTGAGACCAGTCAGATGGGATTACGTCCAGTTCCCAAATTCTACCTAAGACCTCAGTTAATCTCACTGCTAATACTGAACCACCATCCTTAAAAATCTCAGGAGTAAACCTGTCAGGGCCTGCTGCTCTCCATCGCTTCAGATTTCCTATGGCTTTTTCAACTTCGTAAAGAGTCGGAGGACCTACACTAACTTGCCATTCAGGTTGACTGGAGATCGTGGGAAACCGAAGTGTGGCTGAAGGCCAGTTGAACTGATCCCTAAAGTGTTCTGCCCGTCGATCCAATCTCCTGGATTGAGAATGTATAATATGTCCATCTTTCTCTGAGAGTGTTTCGCTAACAGTCGGTTTCCTTAACATGTCTGAACAATTGTCTGCTATTACCTATTGCCGCTGCCTTTTCCATCTCTCTTGCTTTCGCTACCCACCACTGTTCACGATCATTGCGTAGACTTCTTGTCAGCTTGCGCTTAAGCTGACTCCGCTCTTCATTATGTTCAGAGCCAGGTGGAATGAGTTTCCGAGCATCTAACAGTGCGATAGATGCTGCTGAGATCCAGTGTTGCTCCGTAACCTTACGGGTTACCGTACTAGCAGATATCACTGCTGTTTCCACAGCTTTTCGGATATCATTCCATGCTGCCTCGGAGTGGGCATCACCATAGAGAAATGATGTTGTAGACGCCAAGTGAACCAGTCAAGCAGTTTAGATAGGAGGCAATGATTGGGATTGGAACTCATGGGGAATCACAATCTAAATATTTTTTAGCCGTATTTAGCTGAAAATATTTAGTTGAGTAACTCCTCCTGTAGCTGTTCTAGGGTTACTGCCGGTCCCAAGTCCGGGTAAAGGAGGAGGGTTGGGCATGGGTTCAGCAACTCCATCAAGTAGAAAGCATCCTTACTTGAAAAACGCTAACCAGAATACACAATTTAAACTCTGTCCTCTGAGTTGAAGGAAGAATTATGGCGCCTTATGATGAAAGTCGAGATTCTTCGGAAGTCACGAGGCCGATGCCCCTTCTAGCAATTCTTATAGGTACATAGAACGTCCGCACAACATGGGAGATCAGGAGGACCAATCAAACAGTTACAGGAATCCTCGAAACTCATTGAACCCAAGCTGGGCAGCAAAGGCTCGATACGGCAGAGATGCTGCTGTACTCCGGTCACGAAGAGAGAAATACACCATACACTCAAAGAGTTGCTCTGATGCTGTCTAAAGAAGTACGAAATGAACTTATAGGATGGGAATCTCATGGACCCAGGGTCATCAAAGCATCTTTCAAAACAAAGAAGGAGGGAATCACGATGAATGTCATCCAATGTTATGCACCGGCCAATGATAGCAACGACGACAATAATGATCAGTTTTAAGAGATGCTACAATCGATCATAGTGTAGTCCCAAGGAAAGGACTTGACAATCGTGATGGGAGATCTAAACACCAATATCAGAATGGACAACAGTCAGTCAGTCAGTCAGTCAGTAACAACGTAGAACTTCGTACGTACGTAC